GACTACAGGTGTGCGCTACCATGCCTGGCTAATTTTTGATTTATTGTAGAGATGAGGTCTCACCAAGTTGCCCGGGTGGGTCTCGAACCCTCGGGCTCAGGCAATCCACTTACCTCAGCCTCCCAAAACACAGGTTTACAGTCTGAGCCACCAAGCCTGGCTTTTTTTTTTTTTTTTTTTTTTGAGTTGAAGTCACTCTGTCGCCCAGACTGGAGTGCAGTGGCAGCTCCCGGCCACCGCAGCCTCGACCTGCTGGGTTCCGGTAATCCTTCCGCCTTAGCCTTCCAAGTAGCTGGAACTACAGGCACACGCTACCACACCCAGCTACCAGCTGTGGATTTTACACTCATTCTTTCCTGTAGGACTCCCGGGTGCCTGTTTTAACCAAGGGGTCATATTCTCCATCCTTCCTGGGGCTCCGAGAAGGCAGACCATACAGCAGACAGGCATTGACAGAAGCTGCCAGTGAATGATCTGGGCTTCAGAGTGGCCCACACAACCTCAAAAACTTGTGGAAGTTGGGGGGAGTGGGAATGATGGGATGTTGGAAGCCCCCACCCCCTTCATGTGGTGCCCAGATATCACCTTGTCAGTGAAGCCTTCCTTGACTACTGTATTTCACATTTTAATGTCCCAGCTTCTGGTGTTTGTCGTCAATGCTTCGTTTTTCTCCAGCGCACCTCTGTCCATTCATCAAGTTATATGTTTTGCCAGGCGCGGTGGCTGTAATCCCAGCATTTTGGGAGACCCAAGTGGGAGGATTGCTTGAGTACAGGAGTTTGAAACAAGCCTGGGCAACATAGTGAGACCTTGGCTCAAGAAAAAAAAAAAGGTTGGGCGTGGTCGTGTACCCCTGTAGTTCCCCAGTTATATGGGAGGCTGAAGCAGAAAGATCGTTTGAGTCCAGAAGTTGGGGGCGGGGGTGGTGTGGTGAACTGTGATTGTGCCACTGCACTCCAGGCTGGATGACAGTGAGACCCCGACTCAAAAAGAAAAGAAAAGAAAAGAAAGTAAACTCCATTAGGCAACAAGTTGTTTTGGGGTTTGGAGGTTTTTTTTTGAGTCTCACTCTGTCATCCAGACTAGAGAGCAGTGCACACTCACGGCCACCGCAGCCTCGACCTGCTGGGCTCAGGCAATCCTTCCGCCTCAGACTTCCAAGTCCAGAACCACAGACATGCACCACCACACATGGCTAATTTTTTTTATTTATTGTAGAGACGATGTCTCGCCAAGTTGCCCAGGCTGGTCTCGAACCCTTGGACTTAGGCAATCTTCTCATCTCTGCCTCCCAAAGTGCTGGGATGTCAGGCGTGAGCCACAGCACCCAGCAACAACGAGTTTTTGATTTGATTTATTCAGTGCTGGGTCCTCACACCCAGAAGAGTGACTGGCACACAGTAGGTGCTCAGTAAATATTTGTAGGCAGAGTGAGGGAGGGAGACGGAGCTGCAGGAGACGGAGGGGGCAGGCAGGAGGCGTTACAGTGGGCTTCAGGACCCTCCTCCCACGCCCCCCAAGCAACGCTTCTCTGTCCCCAGGACCCCCGGAACAAGCACAAGTTCCGCCTGCACAGCTACAGCAGCCCCACCTTCTGCGACCACTGTGGCTCCCTGCTCTACGGGCTGGTTCACCAGGGCATGAAGTGCTCCTGTGAGTGTCGCCAGGGCCGCTGCAGCCAGAGCCAGCTCGGCGA